GAACCTTTGTTTTTTGTTTAAGGCAGTAATGCTCCTTACCGGTGTGTATGTCGAGCACTTGTGTTTGTTTATGTTTAAGTCAGTAACTCTCCGCCAGTTGGTTTTTTAAGGTGTTGTGTTCGTTTTAGTGCATTTTTCTTTTACCCCCTCACTTCATTTCCGTTTTATTTTTAAGTTTTTTAGTTTTAAGTTTTTTTTAGCTTTAAGTTTTTTGCACTGTCGGCGTGTTTCTTTCGCTGTGGCGTCCCTGTTTCTCCTCTCGGCGAGCGCGTGCACGTCGCTGCCCCGGCATGGCGTCCTTCGGGGTCCTCCTCGGTTCTCTATTGTGCCAGGTTGCGCCGAAATTTCGGGGCGATGATGACGCTGACCCGGCGCGTTTCCTGGCCTCCCGAGAAGCACTGTGGGCTATGTATGGTCATTCCCCCCGCCACTGGTTCACCCTGTTGGAGCACTCTGTCGAAGGGTCAGCTCTTACTTTTTTGGAGACACATTTCGATCGTTTCGGCCGTACCCCAGCGCTATGGACCACCTTCAAGGAGAAGTTCATCGCCCGGTTTCGTCAGGACGTGTCCGTCGCTGACATGTGGCTTGCGATCGCTCGCCGTAGACAGGGCGACTCCGAGTCTGTCATTGACTTCGTCACAGCGATGGAACACATGCTATGGCGGGTCGGCAAGAAGCAGCGCAGCGCTCTCTCCGAGGCTGAGATCGCGAGTACCATTCAGGCACGGTTTCGGCCCAACATCTCGAAGCATCTAGCCGCCCAGAAGTTCGCGTCAGTCGATGACCTTCTCACCATCGCGCGGCGTTTCGAGGAGAGCCCTCGGGAGCTCGAGCGATCTACGCTTTCCGCTGTCCCATCAGTGTTGCGCGTGGAGGCTGCTCCTCCGTCGCGGCAGGACGGCCCGCCTCACAGGTGCCACAGCTCACCTCGGAGGGCCTCTAGTCCACCTCCAAGGGCCCCGAGTCCACCTCGGAGGTCTACCTGCCTCTCCCAGAGGGCGGCCAGCTTCGGCCCGCCGCCTCCGTGGGCGTTCGATCATCGACCTCCACCGGGCTTCGATCCTCTGCCCCAGTACACAAACGTGCCGGGATACTATCTCCTCGGCCCTCCGCCCTGGTGCCCTCCGTGGCCTGCTACGTGGTGCCCGCCCTGGACAGCTGCGTCGTGCCCTCTCTGGCCTGCTCCGTGGTGCCCGTCATCGCCTGCCCCGCCATGCCCTCCATGGCCCGCTACGTGGTGCCCGCCCTGGACAGCTGCGTCGGGCCCTCTCTGGACTGCTCCGTGGTGCCCGTCATGGCCTGCCCCGCCGAGCCCTCCATGGCCTGCTCCGTGGTGCCCGCCCTGGACTGCTCCGTCGTGCCCTTCGTCGCCTGTCCCGCCGTGCCCTCCCGGCCCGGCTGAACAACATCGACGTCCTCCGTGCCCTGCGGTGCATTCGCGCCCTCCGCGAGCGCCCTCGGGGTCACCGAGCCGCCGCCGTCGGGCCTCATCCGGCCCTTCACCTGTTTCGTCAGCCAGCGGTGCGCTGCTGGC